GAAAAGAGAGCGCGTGAGCGAGCTAAATAAAGATCAGAAGAGTTCGACAAGAGGGGCCTGTGCAAGGTTATTATTTATTTATAAATAAGTATTATAGATGCGAAAACGCACTTGCCAAAGAGGCAATGAGCGACAGATCTCGCGCTATCTTTTGTTCAACTCTCGTTCACACTCTCCCTCTGCTTCTCTCATCCGATCACTCTCTCTCTCTCTCCCTCTATTGTACAATTATTCCAATATTTGCACGTTTCATTTTATTGCATTTGCCAAATGTAAAAGAAAACAAAAATACTGTTTTCTGCTTTTGCTTTGTACACACACACACCCACATACATACACACAGTATTATTTTTATTGTGTGTTGAGCTTGTTATTGTTTTCTTGTTTCTTGTTATTGTTTTACAAAATGCGCCGCTAAATGCATAAATGGAGCTGGGCTAAGCAGCGCTAGTTAAATAGCGTGTAAAAAAACAAATATTTTTGATTGTTGCTCTCTCTCTATCTCTCTCTCGCTCGCTCGCTCTCTGCTACTGCTGCTCTCTTTTCTGGTTCTGTTGTTGTTTTCTACTGCTGCTGCTGCTCTCTTTCGTGTTGTTGTTTGCATCAGGCTGGCTGGCAAGCTTCGCCTACGATTCTGTGTTTGTTGTTTCTTGTTTGCATGCTATCTCGCTTTATTTTGTTGCCATTTGATAAAATATGCAAGAGCGCGCGGCAGCTGCAGTATTTTTATAATTTTTTTTTCTCTTTTCACTTTATATTTGCAGTTTTCGCTAAGACGCAGTTCGACTCGGCACATGGCCACGCCCCTTGCCGCTGCACCCGGCGCCTGACAAGTGGCTGCTCCAAGTGTCAAATTGATTACGCAAACGACATTGGTTAAACGCAGTTAATGAATGGAATTACTTAAGAGGGGGAGGAGCAGGGCGGCAGGGCAGGGCACGGTTTATTGCATTTTTATTTACATTAATGAACTTTCATTGGTCTTTAGTAATGCACATATAAAACTTCTCTAGATAAGTGCTTTGACAGCCGATTTAACTTAAGCGCTATTCTAATGACATAACGGGGATTATAAGCAAAAGTAGTAGAGTATTAGATTAGAAAATTGTACGGATTGATGTAGAAATGCACCTCCCGCGGCTTACACTGATAAAAACGAATGTCTCATGCACAAAAACAGCTGATAATATAGATGAATAGGAAATTACAATGACGATTACATAGATAACAAGCAAGAGAGTGATAGACAGAGGAATAGAGAGAATGGAAGAAAAAAAGAGAGAGAGAGACAAGAATAGGCTTTATAGTATTTCTATAGAATTTTCCTCATTTAATTAATACATTTCAGCTATAGAAACTATACAATATTCAGTCAAAAATATATGTATATAGGTATGTTTAATACTTGTAGAACCAACGCCAATAAAGAATACACACATATACAGGTATACCCATACACACATACATATACATATGCTTATATTTATAAACCCCTAACAAACGTGCGAGTTTTTTCGTTCCTTATATATATACATATATTTTTCAAGCAAAATCCACAAAAAAAATACTCATTGACGAGCACTAAGAAAACTTGGCACAGGTTCAATGGCCAAATGTTGCACCGTGGGTGCTAAACACATATTTTCTAGCAAAAAGGAAAACTAAATTTAACTTTAGTATATGAAGGCAATAGCGGGAACTTTTATCCATAAGATCAGGTAATTGAATTTTTGCTTCACTCTTTGGCCATGCGACCCACTGTGCTTCATTTTGGCTTAAGCAGAGAGAACGTTGAACGTTGCCACAGACCACGAAGACAAATTTAAAATTCCACAAATGTCATTTCAGTATTTTTTGCTTTTATTGAAGAGGAAGCGGCTGATGCGAAGGTGTTGCAATATGCCAGCATGCGAAGGTAGAAGAGGGGGGAAGGAGAGAGAGAGAGAGCTGAATAACAGAATGCAGAATGTAGTAGTAGTAGTAGTAGTAGTGTTGGTCAAAGGAGGCGAGAATAGCGTTTTGGAGAGCAGTAGTAGTAGTAGTAGTAGTAGTGAGAGAGAGAGAGAGAGAGAGAGAAAGAGAAGGAAGACGTAGTAGTAGTAGTAGTAGTAGTAACTGTCAACTGGCAGTTGCTGTGTGCTGCATAAATTAGTAGTAGTAGTAGTAGTAGTAGTACTGGAAATAGGCAGGACTATAAATAGTAATGTGTGCATTTCCAGTTATACACTGAGCGAAATGCAACGAACTAAAACCAACAATTGTTCAAAGCTTAAGTAGTAGTAGTAGTAGTAGTAGTCAAAAGAAATTAATGTTCTCTTACTAAAAGTAGTAGTGGTAGTAGTAGTAGTAGTAGTAGTTAGCAGAAGCAGTAGTAGTAGTAGTAGTAGTAGTAGTTGTAGTAGTAGTAGTAGTAGTAGTTGTAGTAGTAGTAATAGTAATAGTAGTAGTAGTAGTAATAGTAATAGTAGTAGTAGTAGTAGTAGTAGGAGTAGTAGTAGTAGTAGTAGTAGTAGTAATAGTAGTAGCAGTTGTATTAGCAGTAGTAGTAATAGTAGTAGCAGTTGTATTAGCAGTAGTAGTAATAGTAGTAGCAGTTGTATTAGCAGTAGTAGTAATAGTAGTAGCAGTTGTATTAGCAGTAGTAGTAATAGTAGTAGCAGTTGTAGTAGTTATAGTAGTCGCCATACTGGCAGCAGTAGTCACTATAAATAGCAGTATCAGAAGTAACCATTGTAAGTAGTAGTAGTAGCAGTAGTAGCCATTGTAAGTAGTAGTCACCATAGTAGTAGCACATGTAAATAGTAGTACCAGTAGTAGCCAGCATACGTAATAGTAGCAGTAGTAGCCATACTAGTATTTGCACGTAGTATTTGTTGTTGTTTCTTGTTTGTCGTTTGCTGCTCACTTCAGTTTTTGATGTTAAGTCGACTCGTGTTTCAATGCAAACTGCGTACTTTCTTTGCTCAATCAGCAGTTCGTTCAGTTTTCCATAGAACACGAATCACCCTCACATACTCACTCACACTTCCATACACCCATACACGCACACACACACACTCRCACACTCACTGTTGTTTTAGTTTACGTGGCATTTACTTTATCAGGCTCTTTTTAGATTTTGCCGCGTAATCGACGGCCAGAGAAAAGGGATCAAAACAAAAGTTAGACAGCCAGAGAGAACATCCGATCGGTCGACGACTTCCTCGAAATCTCCAATAGTCAGAAAATTATAAACAATAACAAAACTCGACGTTATAAGACCAACATCATCAAAAGATATGAAATGAGTAGAACGAGGTTTCGTATATCGCTCGATCAGCGAATTCTATTTAAGGTGTACGACAAACAGTCTAGACCAACAACTGGGGGAACTGGGAGTGAGTAGAATCACGTGCATGACGCACGGCACAACATGCGAATGCCCATTCGAAATCGAATTCGAACTCCAATATGATTTGAGTGTGAATTCTATGGAAAACTGATAAGACTTCCTATTAGACCCGCATTTAAAATAACTCTATTGACCACAACTTTATTAATGATTGCGTATTATACAAAAAAGTAATACTAATATTCCATTGAAATTCGCCAAGTGTGGAACAGAATTTATATAATAATTGAAGCAAATGTCATTGACCTTGAGCTAATTTGATAGCAGGCAATAATTACTATATGTAAATGTATATAAACATCTATCATAGATAACAATCAACAAGTATTTAAATTCGTTAACTGATTTGCAATTGCCGAAGCTCACCATATCGAAAAGTAAAACTTAAAGAGAAAGCGAAAGTTTTGAAGAACATCAAAGCTTGGATCGCCGTTACTCTCTCTCTTGCTTTGCGAGAGCGTGAGAGAATAAGCGTGTACGTGTAATTACTGTATTATTTACATACGCACGCATGTGAGAGAGGCAGTGAGTTGGCATTGCTTTACTATTTAAGTGTTGTGTGTGTATTGAGTCTGCCTACTTTTCTCTATTTACATACATACGTATATGTGTGTGCTCTATTTGCGTACGCATGAAACTCTCTGCGAGTGAGTGCAATTGCACTGCTTCCCACATATGCGCATATGTATATGTTGTTGCTAATGGCAATATCTGTGTGTGCGAGTGTGTGTGATTATGTGACTGTAACTGCTCTTCTATTTACGTATGAATGAATGTAAACAAAACGTAAAAAACGTTTTTGCTACTCAAAAGCGCATTAATTGCAACTGCCATGGACCACAACAGAGTGAAAGAGCGAAAGAAACATAAGAGAGGGAGATGCAGAAAGAGAAATGGTAAGCGAAACGAACATGTGTAATATTTCATGTATTTATTAAGTAACATGCACAACAAGTGGCAGCAACAATGCAAACACAGCAAACGACGATGACGACGTTGGCCACTGACCGACACACACACAAAGAGAGAAGCACACATAATAAACGACAAATTAAAAACGACAAGAAAAAGTAAACAAGTAAGCACAGCAAACAGCGCAAAAAAACATGTGAAAGAAAGATTGAAAGAGAAAAGCGAAGCACGGCATTTGAATGCTGTCTCTGTCACACCTCATCCTCACTCTCTTTGGCCATGAACTTGACCAATTTCTTTGTTTGCTGCAAAAAGCACGCAATAATCGTGAACCGGAACCGGAATCGTATGTTGGAACTAGTCAAATAAGGCGAAACCAGTTTATGTCGTGTAATAGCTTAAATGACATTGGGCGAACTTTTAATATGAGCTTGTTACAGTGAGCTCATGCAAAGTGAATTAGTGTTTGAACTAAATGAACTGAAGGGATATGTATTACATTTAATTGGCTTATCTTAACTGCTGAGCTGCATCAAGTACAGAAAAGACTTATCAATCTGCGGACTATCGTTAGATAACTAGTTGTAAAATAAATGAACTAGTTCAAGACATGAAACATATAATAGACAATCGTAAACTGGCAAAATCCTAAGAAGAATTCCCACAAGAAATCCATTAATAGTCTCATAGCACTCACCTTCCAGCCGGCGCTGCTATTCGAGTCGCCTTTGTCCTTAAAGTATGAAACATTTTGCACCATCCACTCGTAGATCTGGCTCAGAGTCAGGCGCTTGTCGGTGGCAGAGCCTATGGCATGCGTTATGAGATCGGCGTAGGATAGATTGCCCCAGGCATTGCGACGGGATGAGTTCTTTTTGGCTGCATTCGCGTTCTGCATGGCCTGCTGTGGATCTGTGAGTGCGAGAAAGCGAACGGGAATCAAGTGAGAATCGAGTGCAATCCTTGAGTGACTCGAGCCAAGTTGAGTTTGATTGAGTTGAGTTGAGTGAGAGAGAGACTTACCGCCGTTAGCCAGCTGCTGATTGCTGGCCTTGGTGCTGTCCAGCTCGTCGACGGGCTCGGGCCGTGGACAGGGCCAGGTGTTGGAGCGGGCGCGCGTTTGGGGCTCGAAGCCCCCGTCTGTGGGCAAGTCCCCAACTAGCTGGTCCATTTGCAAGCCGTTATCCGAACGGGGCAGATTCGGCCATTCCTGTGCAAAGTCATCCATGATGGCAAACAGTTCGTCCGGGAGTTGCAGCTTTCTGACTTTTCTCTCACAGCTCGCCCAACTCAAAGCTGTCAAGTGTAAGAAAGAGACGACAATAGAGTTCAGTTCAGTTCAGTTCAGTTGAGTTAGTTTCAATTGAATTGCAGTTAAATTGAGCTTTTATCAAATGAATTCCACCCTACCGCCCATACCCGCCCATTCAATCTGCTAATGCCAATTGTCATCGTTTGCGAATTCCATTAAATCATTTTATCATTAGACAAGAACACGAACTGGCTCTTATATCTAATGGCCCAGTCATTTCATTATAATACTCGCTTATGATTAACATAGACCGATACCCATAGAACTTCAACGTACTGAAAGGCTATATAGAACGAGTTAGAGCAAACTAGTTGGGAATGATTGATTAAGAAATACGCTAGAACTGCCCAGAACTGCTATGTAAATTGTTCAAAAACTTTTATTATGAAAGGATTTTGTATATCAAATTTTCAGAGCTGAATACTAAAAGCCTACTGCAACCGAAGGTATTATTTCTTATTAATCAAATATCATTCTATTCAATTCCTTAAAATTGTAAATATATAAACAATACATAAATATCCCTGAAATATTCATATTCACGCTAATAAAAAATTTACAAAGCTAATATACTCTTTTTTCCACACATGAATATTTATTCAGATTAGCTTCCATAATATTTAACACGTAAAACTAGGGAGAATACACGCCCTGTATAAGAGTATTTGTTAAAGAGCGTGTAAGAATATGTATACATAGAAATGTATGTATATATGTATATGTATATATATTTATGCTTGCGTATCTATTCACATAATCAAATGGAATCTCTCGCGATCAGAACTGACAATGGAACAGATGATAATGCAACAGATCTAGTCAAGAATGCATTACTCAATCAAGCACTATGAGGAATGAGCATGAAATTGGCGCTGCTGTAGTAAGTACATTTGGCATGCCATAGCCAGACAGAAAGAGATAGATGGAAAAAGAAGTATTATTATTAGGGTAAACAAAATAAAGGCCCCGAAATATTTCATAAAATATTTCTATCAATATAAATGTCATATATACATGTATGTATATATATGTGCGTCTGGCTGTCAGTATGTCCGCATTATCAAAAGTCTATTGACACTGGCCGCGCTGTCTGCATGGACACGCTGATAAGCCCCACTGAAGATTGACTGCAGCTTGACGAACTTTGCACGAATTTCAAATGTTATCTTCTCACTCACACTCACACTCGCACATACTCTCTATCTTTCTCTCTGTCCTTCGCATCGCTGCTTTACCCCCAAAAATTGCCCGCGGTTGTCTGCCAAGTCGCTTATCAGCCAAAAGCTTTGAACACAATTTAATTCCATTTTTCAACTCTCTTAAATTTCGAGCTTTAGCAACCGCCCACAGAGATCAAGAGAGACCACACAAAGTTTTGCGCTCATTGAGCGCTTTGGACACAAATTTCAAATGTGTGTGAATGGCTCTCACGCACTAGGCAAACAAAGAGCGCGCTCACACACACACACGCACAAACGAACGCGACGCAAAATAACGACCGTTAATCAATGCAAAAGTTTTTTCGTCAAGGAGGGTATAATTTTATTGTTGTAAGCTATGTCAGAAGGAGAAGGCGTGAAATATACTCTTCATGTATATATATATATATGTGTGTATATTATTCATCAGAGTCAAATTTTCAGTCCCAATTATTTGGATCTGTCCGTTCTTCTAAGATCATCATATAAGAGTGGTAGATTGTAGGTGTAGTCAACTCAAGTATACTATGTACAATCAAAAATTTGTTCCTTTCCAATAAATCGACTAAAATCGAAATTAAATCCAAATTGAAGCCATGAAATATCACAAGTAACCTTGATTTATTGGAGCATGCCCTACTATCCACTAGTCGTGCATACCCCATTTAATCAGCCTTAGGTGTTGTTATTAAGTTTCTTTTGCTGCTTAACATTTCTTTTGATTTTGTTTATGGTTCGCATAGGCCTAAGTCTATGTATACATGTGTGTCTCTCTCTCCCTCTCTCATTGTCTCTCTACCTGTGTGCGTGTGTGTACGTGTGATTGAGCATGTAGGAGGCGGCACCGCTGGCAATGGCGACAGCGAAATACCTTGAGACAGCACCGAGCACAGAACACGGAAGTGAAACAAACTAGAAAAAGGTTGTTCTTGTTGAGTATACGCCATGTCCATAAGAGAGAACGAGAGGGGTAGAGAAATTTTGAGTTCTTCAATTTTACCTGTGCTCAAAAAAAATTGTGAAATTTCCAAATGATTTTTAGCAAAATATTTTTTAAATTTTACGACTGTGAATAATGTGTTTCTTTTTAGTGGAAATTAGATTTCAGATTTTACATTCTCATTTTCACACCTTTACTTTAGCAGCTGGAATAGCCAGAAACACAGCTGAACTGCACCTCAAACTGACCTTAGACACAGCGCGAAAAACGAACGACCGAAATCAACAGAAACTAAAACAAAACGTAAAAAATACATTGAGCAAGATGTTTAATACTGTATATACCTATGTACATATGCATGCATACATATACCTATGTACATATGCATGATACTACATACATATGTACATCAATGCACACATACATACTGCCGTGTTCATGAAATTAGTAATGCTCTAAATTTTGGATAAGAAAATTTCGTGGTCAATCTGATATTTTCAAAACACGTCTATATACATTCATACATATTATGTTTGTCATTAAAACATCTACTAATAATTTGTCAACATCTTAATTGCTGTTCTGCCAACTATTTTTAGCTGCATCTGCAAAAAGCATTCACAATGGCTTTGCTATTCGAAAATAGATCACAAAACGTTCACACCTGACATATATGTCTATATGTAAATACATAAGGAAATACATACATACATACATTTACACATAAATCCATACATACATATGTACATATGCATGTGCATAGATCTAACGGGAAAAGTGTGCAAATTTGCGTCGCATGAGACAATTGGCTACTTGTTGCTGTTGTTGCCAGTTAGAGTGCAATGGGTGGCAATGAACGACTAGTAACTACCCTATACACCATGCAAATCGATGTCTAACATTTTCATCAGCTGCAGCATTCCATTATCAATTATCATCGATTTCCCGAAGTGAACTTGGTATAAAATCTACGTTTAATGCTTCATTGATTTAGTTTATACTTATATACCCTATACTCTAACAGACGGTGCCTTTTGCGTCTAAAAGATTTGAGAACAACAAACGTAAATACGAAAACAAAAGCAAAACAAAAACAAAAGGAAAAAAAGTTTGAACTTAGAATTTCGAATATGCTATTATTATTGCTGAGTTGATCTGATCTCGCTGCGTCATAGAAATGTTATTGTAATATTCTCAGCATCAGCCTGATTATCATTCAAATCAAATTGATTTTTAATAAAAATAAAATATTTTAATATTGTTTGTTTACAACTGACGACACAAGACAACAAAAAACTAGAACCTGTTCAAGAGACAAACTAAAGAGCAAAACGTATCAGACGTATCAGATATATATATAGGTATATATATATCTGGCCATATTACTACCTGCAAATGAGTCAGATTCATTGCTTAAAGTGGGCCGCGCAGCATCACGCAAATAGAATGAAAAGAGAATCAAAGACAGAGGCAAATAAAAACAAAAACAACAAAGTGTGGGCGAGAAATTAGCATCTGATATTTTAGGCACATACTATATAGTTAGTTCTATATCTGTGCATTACACAACAGATGATCGAATGCCCGAATTTGTCAAAAATAGAAACAGAAATACACCAAAGAAATTCCCAGAGGTGATTTTTTTTTTTTTTTTTTTTGCAGTTTTGCAATTTTGGCATTTTCAATGTCAAACAAACAAAAAGAAAGCAAAAGTTTGCGGCGACAGCAAACAGGTAAAAGTGTATCCAGTAGGCAATGAACGACTATCAGTTACCCTATAGACTGCTTGACTTGGCTTCCCATTCCACATTCCATTGAGCAACCTATTCAGTTGTATCCATTGAGTTTACTCAATGCTAACTAGAGGTTCCGAGGTGAACAGGCTCTCCAACAAACTGGTTCAAAAGCTAAATTGAATAACGGAAATAAGTCTATGCTAATATAATAATAAATCGATCTTAAGTGATACACAATTTTTTGAATTGGCTACAGCAAGCATGATCTGGTTCATTTATGAACTGAACAAAAAATCCCAAATGAAATCAGCGTTATACTTGAATATAGCCATGGCCAACTGGCAGTACAATGTTGAACTGGTTCCCTAATGAACTGGCTCGTTAAGACACTTCTTAGCCGTAGATTAGATTAGATTTTAAACACGATTCCATTAGATGGTTCAAGTTTTATTCAATATTTAGAAACATTCTATTAAATATTAATATCAAAAGTGATATATACACATATGTACCTATGTATATCTATGGCTACATCTATAACTTTATTCATATTTCATGACCAAACTCTCAATATCCCCTACTCAATGAGAGTAGAATGAAAGCCAAATAATGAAGGACGCAAGCAAAAAGAGTAATGGCAAAAAATAATACATTTTTGTTACGTAATTTAGCTAACAGTTGTTTTTTTCTCCCTCTCTCTCTCTCCCTCTCTTATTCACTCTCTTATGATATTCTTAAGAATATGAATATTAGGTACACACGCACACACACACGCATAAAATTTGATAAGCAAAAAACGAACATCTGAAAGAACAAAATTTATCTGCTTCTTATCAGAGTGAATCGCAACTTAACTCGGTTCGTTCTTTTTATACCCTGAACCCATTTTCAATGGGAAATCAGGGTATAATGGTTTTGTTGAAATGTATGTAACAGGGAGAAGGAGGCGTGGCAGACCCCACAAAGTATATATATTCTTGATCAGGGTGACGAGCTGAGTTGATTTGGCCCTGTCCGTCTGTCTGTCCGTCTGTCCGTCTGTCCGTCTGTCCGTCTGTCCGT